CGCAATCTCCCCAATGTTGCCCTGCCTTCTGCTGCCGAGCCTCTTGTCATTGAGTCCCTAGGTGTTCGACAATATGTCAATTGTCAAACACCCCCGACTCAACCTGGCAGTCGGGTCGGGTTTGGTCGGGTCGACCTCTACCAGACCCATGCTCTATAAGTAAATGGGTCTACCTCTTCGCCCATGACCCTACCCATGGGCATCGGAGCAGACCCATACCCATCGGGTAACCCGACCCAGTGGGTTACCCATCGGGCATGCATGTAGTAATATTTTTATTAGGCCAGTGTGTCCTACGTCTTGCTGAGGTTGCTAGGCACTTCCGAACGAATGCTTACAGCAACAACATCAAGTTCTTTTATAGGCAGAGCTCCACCTCCAGTGTGCTTCCCTCGGCGAGGTGGTACTAAATAAGCTGCCTCTAGCCATGCACACAAGGCAGCCATGCATGACAAAAGCTATATGGGCTTATATGGCTTTGGAAGCCCAACAAGCTAACAGGACATGAGTTGCTAAGTGCTGAGGTACATGGGCTTCATATCCAGCATTTAATTGGTTTGTTGTGGGCTGATCACTCCAGCACTATGAGCCTATGGGTATGTGAATTGGGCTGGGTCGGGGTGTGGCTGAGTGAACTGGATCATTAATTTGACTAACATTTAGGGCCCACATGTCAGTTAATCGGGCGACCCATTGGGCGACCCACGGGCATTACCTTCTGCCCATACCCTACCCATAACTAATCGGGTTACCCATCGAGTTTACCCATGGGTGAAGATAGCAACCCATACCCTATCCATTAGGGTCAGATGCGCATGGGGGCGGCCGCCCATGGGTTGGATTGCCGGGTTGACCCCGACTGCTGACCCTAGCGTCCATCTCACATAAAGGGCTCGTGCGTATGGGAAGGCTCATTAGCGCGGTCGCTCTCGTTCGTTCTACGTACGGGTTCTTTCTATTTGTTTATCTATCGGTTTCATTTTCCCCTACATTGTTTCTTTTCATCCTTTTCATTCATTTTTCACAGTTTTTACCGGTTTCTTCTTTCTTTGTTTCTTTTCACTCGTATTGGGATTTTTGGTTCCATTTCTTTCTTTCCTTTGTTTTTCTTTGTCTCTTTGTGTTTCTTTCTTGTTTTGCTTTTCAATTTTCTTTGTTTTCTTTGTACATTTTTTGTATACATGAGGAACATTTTTTTATATGCATGCTTAACATTCTTCAAATACGTGATTAACATTTTTGAAAACTTATATTCTTATGTCTACTTTTTACATACGCAATATAATTTTTCATATACACCAATAACATTTTTCATATACACGTTTAACATTTGGAACTACATGATTAACATTTTTTAGATAAATATTATACATTTTTTGTATACATAAAAAACATTTCATATATGTGTGTTTTAAAAATTTTAAATAGATGATTACATTTTAATAAAACCCATATTTTTTGTCTACTTTTTCATTTTATATTTTTTTAATACGTCACAAACATTATATATACACGTTTAATATTATCCAAAACATTTAATAATATTTTCAAAACTTACATTGCTTTGCCTAAAGTACTATTTTTTATACATTGAAAAAAAAATCTATGCGCTTTTAATTTTTTTTTAAAAGCATGATTAACGTGAAAAAGTAAAATTGTATTTTTGGATTTCTACTTTTTTCCATACGCACTGTACATTTTATGTATGCCTCAGAAACATTTTTCTATGCATATTTAATATTTTAAATGCATGATTAACGTTTTTTATCTTTTATATATAAAGTAATTTTTAAAATAGATGTGTTCATAATATTCGAAATACAAGCAAAGTAAAATAATAAAATAAAACAACGAACAAAAAAATTGTGGAAGCGGAAATAGAGGAAGAAAGCACTGAAGGCCTGTGTCCGCGGTGGGCCGGGCTAATCGGGCTTCTTTCTGAAGCGAGATGCCCTACTATTTCGCTTCAAGCAAGGCATAGGGGGCGTGCCCGACGGGACCTCCTATAGGGCGCCTTCAGCGCCGCGCAAGGGATCTGGCGCCCGCAGCAGCGGCTGGATGGGCCGGCCCACAATCACGCAACAAAAGCAACACGAAAAATGACAGCCAAAAATACCTACCCAACGGGATTCGACCTCGCGCCCACCCAACTTATACACGGTGAGGCTAGCCACTGCAATAGCTAACTGCTAGCGGATATTCACACCACGAAACTTTAAATAAATAGAAAATAGACATGCTATTTATTGCACAATACACTGTGGCATTTATACATTTCAATTATTGAAAATATGTTCAAATATTACGGATGGAGTTCTTGAGCATGCAAAAAAAATCCGCATATTCAAAAATAGTTCTGAATACACATTGAATATTTTCTTAGTATACGGTGAACATTATTCAAAGAAATACAGAACATTTTTTAAAAATATGCTGAATTTTTTTTAAATACATGCTGAACAAAATTTCTCTACACGATGAACATTTTTTATACACACTGAATATTTTTTCAATATATGGTGAACAATATTCAAATACACGTAGAACTTTTTTTAAATACGATGAACTCCTTTTGAATGCATGCTGAACAAAATTTCTATACATGATGAACATTTTTTTATACACACTGAACATTTTTTCAATGTATGATGAACATTCTTCTTCAATACAGTTAACAAAAAATTGGAATTCAGAACTATTTTTGAAACATGAACAAAATTTGGAATTTCGAAAAACATTTTCTGAAAAGTCAAACGAATTTCGAAAAATCTGAACATATTTTGGATATTGAAAATAGTTCATCCAATTCGTAAATAGTTCATCAAATTTTAAAAAGTTCACTGACTTCAAAAAAAGTTCATTAGTTTTGAAAAAGGTTCACAAACCTGAGAAAAAGTTTATCGAACTTGAAAAAAAGTTCATTGAATTTGGAAAAAGTTCATCGACTTAAAAAAAGAGTTCCCCAAATTTGACAAGAAGTTCATTGAATTTGGAAAAAGTTCATCGACTTCAAAAAAGAGTTCACCCAAATTTGAAAAAAAGTTCATCAAATGTGAAAATAGTTCACCGGTTTTGATAAAATGTCATCGAATTGGAAAAAAGTTCATTGAATTTGAGAAAAAGTTCACCAATTTTGAAAAAAGTTCATCGAATGTGAAAAAACGTTCATAAATCCGGTGAACTTTTTATATCGAATTAGAAAAAGGAAAAGAAGAAAGAAGACTAAAAAAGAAAATGAATACTAAAAAGAAAAAGGAAGAAATGAAAAGAAAAACAAAAAAAAAGAAACGGAAAAGAAAGAATGGAAGAATAAAAGAGGGAAGAAGCTCTATGTAATCAGAGAACTCAGCTAGCGCGGGTGGCGAGGGAGTGCTGTGCTGTAACCCCGAGTCGTAGGTTCGAATCCTTCTCAACACGTTGTTTTTTTGCATCATTTTACAAAAGAAAAAAATAAAACATGGTCTGGCCCATCGCGGAGGAGGGGTGTGCGCCCTGTACCATTAACGCTATAACGGGCGCTACGGGCGCCGTTTAGGGTTTGCCGTGCCCGACAGTGGCGTCGCACCCGATACTGCACCGGCCCAGTCACCTCGTGGTCTCATCATGCTGATGTCCCACTAACATTGCATATTTCGTTTTTACTTTAGTTTTTAATATTTTAAAATAAATTTATATATTATGAGAAAGTAATTAAATTATTTTTCTAAAAAGTGTTATTGCACAATAAAAAAATTTAAATGTTCTGTAAAAAATGTTTTCTCAACTTTTTGTAAATATTTCTCCCATTCAAGAAATTTTATTACCTCAGAACAAAAATAAAAAAATGTATGACCATTTGAAAAATGTTGACACATTTCAATAACATGTACAAGCCATTCAAACAATGTCTTGTAAAATTAAAAAATGTAGGTTACATTTAGAAAGATGTTCACGCATTTCAAACCAAATGCTTGTGACATTTTAGTAACAAACATATTTATCAGATGTAATAAAAATATCACATAGTTCAAAGAAAATTAATCACATCATAAAAAAATGTTACCTGTGTTAAAAGACCTTCAAAACAATTTTAAAAAAAT